AATCTTTGACAAAGCAGGAAAGAATATCCAATGGAAAAAAGACAGCCTTTTTAACAGATGGTGTTGGGAGAACTGGACAGCAACATGCAGAAGAATGAAACTAGATCATTTTCTCACACCATGCACAAAAATAAACTCAAAGTTATACTATTAATTTTGATTCTGTAACTCTAAGATTTCTATGAGGTGTCTGGGTGGCTCAGTCGGTTAAGCGTCTGATTTCGGCTCAGGTCATGAACTCATGGTTTGTGGGTTCCAGCCCTGAGTGGGGCTCTGTGCTGGCAGCTAGCTCAGAGCCTGAAGCCTGCTTCAGATTCTGTGTCTCCCTTTCTCTCTGACCCTCCCCTGCTTATGCTGTCTCTCTTTCTCTCTCTCTCACTATCTCTCTCTCTCAGAAATAAATTTTTAAAAAACATTTTAAAAAAGGATTTCTATAGTTGTGTAGTTGTGTCTATAGAAAACTCCATAATTTTAAAGCTGATAAAATAGCCCTTATAATACTTTGCTTATTATGTACAGCTGATTGGGATATTTAGTTGTATTTCACTTTACCCTAAACTTTTCCTACTCAAAGGCAAGTGCTTCAGGCATCAAGGTTCAATGGATTCACTTTGAATCACTGTTGACTCTTTATTTCTTTCATATTGTACTTAGCTGTTCTTCATTGTTGTATCTTATGTTCTATTTTTTTTAATTTTTTAATGTGTTTTATTTATTTCTGAGAGAGAGAGAGAGAGACAGCGTGAGCAGGGGAGGGCCAGAGAGAGAGGGAGATACAGGATCTGAAGCAGGCTCTAGGCTCTGAGCTGGCAGTCAACACAGAGCCCGACGTGGGGCTCAAACCCACAAACTGTGAGATAATGACGTGAGCCGAAGTCGGACGCTTAATTAACTGACAGCTACCCACGCTCCTCTGTAACTTATGTTCTACTCTTTTTGACTGTGAACAGAATTATAGATCCAAATTCAATTTCCCTGAAACATTGCATTTTCCAATCCAGTGTTGTTGATAATTAATCTGAAGTCATTCTCAGATTCATTTATTTGGTTGTATGTGTTTTTTTTTTCCTGCATAAGCTTAAATCACTTACCTTTTGACCGAGAGTTCTGAAATCTCATGAGATGTATGTAAATATGAAGTCTTTTATAATCATATTTTGACAGACAATAGATCTTTCAACATCAAGAATTTGAGTATTTGTTCATTTTTTGAATTATCTTATATTCATTTCTAAACTCCAAGTGTTTAAAGTCTTCATTATTTATGTCTGTCTTCCCAGTAATGTGATCATAGTACCCTATATGTATTGTTATTACTGAATTTATCACATCATTTCAAAATTATCTGTTAGGTCTCCCCACCTGACTATGAACTCTGTTGAAAAAGAATGGATGCCTTATTCATTTTTGTGTTCTCAAATAGCCTGAAATAGAACAGGTAATCAATAATAATTTGTTGAACTAAATTGAAGTTAATATGTTATGAAAGTTTAAGTCTGACAGAAAAAATTGAACTATCACTTAAAGATGATGCCTAATATTTACATCAAGGGACATATTTTTCCTTAGGTTGCAAAGTAGATATTTTTTTAATTGGTCTCTACAAACTTCTTCAATTCCCAAGTGACAACTGGTCACAGTAACACCTGTATACTGCTGGCTGGCACAGCTATCTTTAGGGCTCCAAGGCACATTTATTGCCTTCATGTGAAAATGCTTTCACAAAGTTGCTGGTATAGGTATGGTTGGCTCTAGAACTATAAGATTTCAATGTATAGCTTATAGGACAATGTCACAATTTTAAAGATCTTGACAAGATCTACTCTCTTAACTGGTCATTATTTAGTTTGATTAAGACCATTCACTGAGTGATTTTTGTGATTAAATCAGGCTTTGTTGAATAAACGGATGGTGCAATGTTGAAACTTTCTCTATTCTACTATTTGGCAGTGTCAGACAATGAATAGGGAAAAGCAGAAATGAATCTTACCATACATCTAGAAAGTGAAAGGAGACTACTGTAGGATTTTCAGTTACCTTTTGGAAGCATCTTTCAGGTAGCTTGTGGAATGATAACTGTCAGAAAATAACTCTGGAAGGTGGGGGACAGAGGGCTATGTTTAAGAGCCCATCAAAAGATGATGATAAAAATGAGTATAAAGCTTAAGTTAAGTGAGTAAACTGTAGAGATCTGCTGTACAACATTATATGTGTGTTATATGTCAACAATAATATATTATACACTTCAATTTGCTAAGAGAGTAGACTTCTT